AAGGCGGCCAGGGCAGGCGGTGGGGACCTGCAGTGGCAGCGGGGGGTGCCGCGATTGCACGGGCTCCGCCCCTGCCCCTGCAGGACATCTCTGGCTGAGGCAACTGGCCCGGACAGCGGGGACCCGCAGCTGCAGCAGTCCCGTGATCATGGGCTCCGCTTTAGGCCCGGGCAAGGGACCCCTAGCTCCCAGGACTGCCAGCTTCAACTGTGCCCAGCTCCCATCGCTGGCTCCACCCCTACTTCCTGCTATCACTGGCCAGGGTGGCAAAGGCACCCGATTCTCCGAAGATGGTTGGGGGGCAGGGCAAAGGCAGCCCCCAGGGCCGCCTTTGCTCAGCCCCCCGGCTTTTAGCTCCCCCCTGGGTTTCCGATCACTGTCAGTGGCAGGGGGCTTCTTCCTGCTTTCCCTTTCGCCTCCCTGCATTGTGCCTACATCTGCAAATTAACCGCCATCTTTGTTGGCAGTTAACTGCCATCTTAGTTGGCAGTTAATTTGCATATCGCCCTTATTAACCAATGAAAAGGGTAGCGGTCGTACGCCAATTACCATATTTCTCTTTTATTAGTGTAGATAGCTAAGATCTGGAGACAGCACAGGTGCCCATCCATTGAAGGATAGACTAAAACACACACACACACACCCACACGGTGGTACATTTACACAATGGAATACTATGCAGTTGTGGAAAAGAAGGATCTCTTACCCTTTGAAATAGCATGGAGGGGCCTGGGAAGTATTATGCTAAGTGAAATAAGTCAGTCAGAGAAAGACAAGTATCACATGATCTCAGTTATGTGTGAAATCCATGAACAAATTAAAGTGTCAAAATAGATCCAGAGACATGGAAGCATGCAACAGACTGTGGATCTTCAGAGGGAATGAGTGAGAGGGAAAAATTAACCAAAGAACTCATAGGTGTATATGAATAACCCACAGACATAGATAATAGTGGGGTGAAGACCTGAGGAGAGGAATGGTGAGGGGAAGAATGGGGTCAATGAGGGGAGAAAGGGAGAACATCTGTAATATTTTCAATAATAAAGATACATTTTTAAAAAGCAAGCCACAAAGCCATAGCCATCATACCCTTGGTCCCCAGTATAGGCAGAGTCCTTCAGCCCAAGTCCATTTCTCTCTCTTTCGCACACACATGCATACACAGAGCTTTCTGTGTGGCTTTTGGGCATACAGGACTGTGAGTAATAAATCTTATGTTTTCTTTTCTTTTCTTTTTTCTTTTTTTTGTAAGTATAATATTCTTTTGTATTTTATTTTTTTTAATTTTTTATTACAAAAGGTATTACATATGTGTCCATTTTTCTCCCTGCCCTAGACAGTCCCCTAGCCTCCCCTACCCCCCCCCCAGTGTCTTATGTCCATTGTTATGCTTATATGCATGCATACAAGTCCTCCAGTTGATCTCTTACCCCCGTACCTCTGCCCCCCAACCCTCCCCAGCCTTCCCACTGCAGTTTGACAATCTGTGAGGCAGCTCTGCCTCTGTATCTATTATTGTTCAAAGTTTATAATGGTCTCAATTATCCATGAATGAGTGAGATCATGTGGTATTTTTCCTTCATTGACTGGCTTATTTCACTTAGCATAATGCTCTCCAGTTCCATCCATGCCGTTGCAAATGGTAAGAGTTCCTTCCTTTTTAGAGCAGCATAGTATTCCATCGTGTAGATGTACCACAGTTTTCTAATCCATTCATCTACTGATGGGCACTTTAAACCTTATGTTTTCATAATTTCATTATGGTTGTTGTAATTATAAGAAGGACCACAAGAGTCCATCCACCCAGGACATTGTCTCTGGTCTGAAGAACAAGGAGGAGGAATCAGGCCAGTAGCCAGGCATTCCTATCCTATTGCATCGCTATCAATAGACTGAGACTTATAGGGGACAATGATGAAATCTATACTATCAGGAAGAGCAGTTAAGGTACCAATGTACAGAGAAAGAGGGACACATGGTGAAAACTGAGGTTACAGATTTTATGGAATGAAATTATACAATGGATTAGGTAGCCAAGTGCAGTTTTTCTAACTCTACGTATTACTATTCTACCTATAAAACAAGAACAAATTATTACAATGATATATGTCATTTGAGAAGGAATCATTCATAAGACATCAATGTTTCTAGTGAAGTAAATGAAAACTTCTCACTATTTCTGATCAAGGATGGAAACAATTTGTGAAGGTTAAAAAAGGACAAAGGGAAAAACTGACCATATAACACACAAAGCAGGAAGCTTAATAAAATGGTTACTTAAATTGCATAAAGAAGTTGAAACAAACAAAGGAAATTGAAGGACAGTATAAAAGGAACAAGTCTGGCCTGGCCTGTGTTTCTCAGGGGCTGAGCATCGACCTATGAACCAGGAGGGAAACACTGGATTTCTGGTCGGGGCACATGCCCGGGTCGTGGATTCAACAACCAGGAGTGGGTATGCAGGAGGGAGGCAATCAATACTATTCTCTCATCATTCATGTTTCTCTCTCTCCCTTTCCCTTCCTCTCTGAAATCAATAAAACTATGTTTTTAAAAAAATAAAAGGAGCAAGTCTAAAAACACACAATGTGATTAAAGCATCACAATTTCTGGTTTAAGTTCTGTAGCCCAAAATCAAGGACACTTTTTACCTCAAGATGACTGTCTCCTTTGTACTTGCCATCCGAAAGAATCTTTTCAGAGCCCTCTTTATGTCCTTGTTCCTGAGACTGTAGATGAAGGGGTTTAGCATGGGTGTGACCACTGTGTACATCACTGAGGCTGCTGCACTTGAGTGTGAGCTTTGGGTAGCAGCAGAGCTGAGGTACACTCCTATGCTTGTACAATAAAATAAGGAGACAACTAAGAGGTGAGACACACACGTGGAAAATGCTTTATACTTCCCCTGAGCTGATGGGATTGCACGTATAGAGGACACTATCTTAGAGTAAGAGTAAATGATACCAGCAAGGGGACCACCACCCAGCAGCACAACTCCAAAATACATCACCATGTTATTAAG